AATGGATGGCAACAAGAATATAACAAGGTGCAATATCGAAGCTCAACAAAACAGGAGATATCAACTCAACATAAGTAAGTAAAACCATCCTGAATTTCAAATCTTCAAATGGTAACAGAGGCATATGATAGCATGTTAACTACAACATGAAAACATGTTTAAATGAATGACAAAACATTAAAAATTGCATGTTCATAAACAAGAATGCCACCCTTATTCCGCCACATAAACATCAATAGTGAAATGCCACCCTTATACTCCACACATTAATAACAGTGAAATACCACCCTTATAATCCACACAACATCAAAAGTGATATGCCACCCTTATACATTGCACATCATAATCAATTACAACAATCATGGTACCATAATCCACGTGCACGCCATCAAGAAATAAAAATGAAAGGGTGACCCTAGGGGGATGGATCCGTATCCACGCGCTGCCCGGCAACAACCTCGTGTATAATAAAAATCACAATCACACGGCAAAGGCCTCATTCAAAAATATTATTACAATCACATCTCGTTCCATAATATCATCACAATCATATGGCAAAGACCTCGTGCCACAATATCATCACAATTGCACGAAAATGACCCTGTGCCAACACCAAATCAATCCGTCCAATGTGTCCACATATGCCATGATCATAATAATGCAATATGCCAAATTATCATCAGACAAGGTGCATAAGGACATGATAATAATAAAATACGGATGAGCGTTCAACATATAAAGCATGACTTCAGCTTAATCAGTCGTTGCAACTAAGTTCATGTAGTCATAGAATGATTAAGCACATTTTATATAAATCATGTCATCAAAATAAGGAATATTAGAATCCTATGGTCTAATCCAGTCAAAACCACACAAAGAACCTATGTATAAGCTCTTCACCTCGTGTTCATGTTGCTTAACACATAACTTAATTAGGCAAATAAGGCAAAATCCAAAGGGTTATTCCGTCACACAAAGTTAGGCTAGACACTTACCTTAATAATTCCCAAATTAACCCTAAAGAATAGCCTTTCCCTTAAAAATCACCTTCGTCTGGCTCAATCTAGTAAAAACTAATATCAAATAATGCTATAAGATGCAATTTCAAATAATAAAATTTCAATCTTTTCTCAAATCCTAAAAAGTCAATTAAAGTCAACCCTGGGTACACACGGTCAGAACCTGAGTCAAGGGGTAGATCTCTACTATCCATAACCCTAAGAGTCAAAACATGTTATTAGATTCCAAATACGAGTCCAAATCAACTCCCAAATCACCAATTTTTATTTTCTTAAGTTGTAAGAAAAATCCCCAAATTTTCCTTTAAAATTTCATGTTTGGGAGTTAATAAGCCATATGATTCTTGAAATAATAATAGAAATATTTAGAAATCACTTGCCCCAAAGCCTTTTTGTGAAAATCCTTTTAAAACATCGCCCCTCTCCAAGTCTAGGGTTCAACATATGAGATAATGGGTCCAAGTCCCAAAATTGGCTCACTATAACCAACTGCAAATATCACATTTGTGACCAGGGGTTCGCAAATGTGAGGATTAGCTCGCAAATTCGAACAAACTCCCTTAGTGTCATTCCTCGCAAATGCGACCAGGAGAGTCGCAAATGCGAATAAGTGTCACAAATGTGAACAAGTGTCACAAATACAATACTCCCTTCGCAATTGTGACACCAGCTGGCCTTCTCACATTCAAACTTATAATCTTTCTAAACCTTCAAATGGCCAACTTTCGGTAACTAGGGCTAAATCAATCTAGGAACCTCTAAATACAAATTCGGACATACACCTAAGTCCAAAATTATAATATGAACATATTATAACCATTAAATTATGAATCCGGGGTCGTTTACATAAAATTTAAATCTTGGTCAACTCTTACAACTTGAGCTTCCAACTAAATTTTACAATTTAGTCTAAAACCTTCCCAGAACAAATCCAACCATCTACGAAAGTCATAAAATAATAACCAATCATACAATAATAATCAAATGGTGAATCATGGATCAAATGCACAAAACAACCATCGAATGGCTCACTCAAGATGGTTCTAACCCAACTCCTTAGTTAAAGCAATTAAGCTCAATCACATACAGTTCAAACATATAGAAAGTAATTGCATGATTCAAGAAACGAGCTCACACGTAAAAAAGATTAGTCACAAATATTCTCAAGACACATATTTCAAAGAAAATCCATAAAGAAAGTAATCAGCTCACATGCTTTCGACCTAAGCCCCAACATACAACACGCCAAGTAGTAATGGCACTCTAGTTCTTCCATTCTTATTTGTTAGTCCCAAAAGAAAAGGTAAATCTTTTTGTTTTTTTAGACTTAAACCCTCAAGAAGCCTGTTTAGGAAATCCTTCATCAAAAATATTTTAAAAATTTTGAAAAAGGTAAAAAATCTACCCACAAGCACTCGGTTCATTAAAAGTTGGCACCCTTGGGAAAAACCTATGGTATAAAAAATATCGGGGATTAAGCCAACAAAATAAATACTCTAGTGTTATACAATTACATGGCCTCAAGTCATGATCATCACAAAAAGTAATTAAAGTACATGCCCAAAAATATCCGACACCCCACCCCACACTTATGTTGTGCATTATCCTCAGTGATACGCTATCACAAAAAAGATATAACGCTCAAAAGTAGAGTGAGTGACAGAAACTCCCTTAAGTTATCTCTAGATTTGGTAGGGACTCACCTTAAACCGTGGTTCCCTGTGTTACTGGATCCTTGATTATAACACCTAATGCATCTATAGCCTGTATCAGCTTGCCTTCCCTAGTAGGAACAATAGTCTTTAAAGCCTCATCGCTAACCTCCAAAGGATCCTTAGTAGGAACAACCATTTCCGATTTATCAATAATAATGCTATCAGTAGCACTAGAATCCATCTTCTGTAGCTCCCCTAGGTCAGTCGGAACCCCAACCAACTTTGTCGGCAGCGTCTTCCTAAAGACAACTATCACATAGTCAAATTGGGACTAGATCCATTGGTCCCGAATCTCTGCTACATCCAATAATGCACGATCATGTGCATCCAAATTGACTCTCAACTGCCTAAGCTCACTTTCGATTGCAGTCATCCACTATCCCTACCCTTTCTTCTATATATTATCTTTATTCGAGTCCTGGACATTGCATATTTCATGCAGTTCCTTATATTGCCTATCTATCAACATATCTCCTTCCTCATGTAGCTTGTACTTCTCCAGCAAGGCAATTAAGGTGTGTACAAAGTAAAGTCCATATTGCATGTTCTTGAAGGTCTTCACCATTTGACTCCTCATCTTCTCACTATTATTCACATAAACTCGTGTCATAAAAGTATAGATTAGAAATACTCACTCCCATATCACAATGGTCTTATGAGTAGTTGGCATCCATCTGTTGCATATCCAATTGAGCTAGGCTCGGGCCTCCTTGTTCATGAAAGTCTTCACCAACCCATTCCTTTTGCTCCATCTAGCAATACTCAGATTCTCCCACAAAGTTTGAAGCATATGTACTAAGTTTGGTCTTTGCTCTTTCCTCCAATAGTCTACCATAGGCTTCCAAGATATCCTGTAGTACATGTTAATTGCCTCAAGAGAGATATCAACATCCATACCTCGTAGTCTCACAATGTCACCTTTAGTCGGGTCCTAGTTGTCATACAATTCTCTGATAAGAGTAAAGTTATCATTGCCCTTTGGTCCTTGCGCAAAGCGTAACCATCCTCGTTCTTCTATCTCTGTCACTCTATTGTTGAAAGCATCTTTAGTGATATCTAGATTAAATACCTTTTCTAACAGTTAAGGGAGTGACTTCTTCATTACAATATTGGAATGTATCCTCCAAGCAGGCTCGCTCATGATATTATCCTCCTATAAAGAATTTGGAACTGGAGCACTTAGCTCCCCTTCACCCTCGGGCAATGAAATATCTACATCATCATCAAATAATCATACTCAGACTCTGACTCTATTACCTTCTTTGCTTTCCCTTTGCCTTTCACCTCAATCATCTTTCAATTTTTAGCCGGAGCTGGCTTAGAAGTTCCTTCTCTAATTTGGACCGGAACCTCTCTTGTCCTAGATGACCATGACCGTGTCTTTTGTTGTGTTTGTGCAGGTGGTTCACTACTCAGAGGTGGCTTCATTATCCACCTCATAAGTTTTGTCATCTGAGCTTTCATATCTTAGCTTAGTGCGCTTCTCTGTTTTTTAAATAATGCTTGTGCATCCTTTTCATTGGATGTCCTTTTTGGGAGAGATTTACCATCTCCTCCCACTAAATGACAGTGAATAGGTGTCCTAGAAACTACCATAAGAACATTAAAATAACAAAGAATCGATGTTAATTCAATCTCATATCGACAAGTTAGGGTAGTGCGAGATGCAACCGCACTCAGCGTGTGAGCGTAAGCATGCATACGGGTCATAAGAGACTGACTTAACACAATAGTGTTCATTCAAAACTAGTTTTCATAATTGAAGTTCAAGTGAGCGCAAACGACACACGAGTTGTGCCTAAGTCAGTCGCGCGGTGATACTCGTCAAAAAAGAATGCAAATTTAAGTTCTTGAATCCCAAACGACCACCGTACACTTAGGAGTACTCATTAATGCCATTTAAAGTTGGCTCGCTAGTCAAAATTTTCAAAGCCTATAAAAAAATTTGTTTGGCCATTTTAGTGAACACCTTATGTGCACAGAATTTTCCTCATTGTTTTCATGCTTTTAGTTCATGTATACCCTCCCAATTTTGAGTGAGGTGGTGGGAATTATAGTTTTCCACGTCACTTTATTCAATCGAGACAACCAATACCATGCAAAACTTCACAATTCAAACCTTCACTATGAACTAGAAGGGGGAAAATCAAAAAAAGAAAAAGAAAAAGAAAATCTATATAGGGTTCGGGGATGGGGAAGTGTATTTATGTGTGTGAGAGAGAGGAAGAACAAAAGGAAAAGAGAAGAGAGAGAGAGAAGTGCATACCTGGTTAATGTGAGATGGAATAGTAGAGGAAATTGGCGATCATGAGAGGAAAGAAGAAGAGCGGAATAACAAGAAATATTTTTGTTCTGTTTGAAGGAAATAATGGGGCTGCATGGTTTTATTTAATTTGGTCTTACCTAGCCCCATTCACTTCTCTTGCATCATGCGACATTTAGACACGAAAAAATACTCGCGAGCTCGTTCTCATCCTGCCCCCTCAGTTTACTGGTTTCCAATTTAGGACAACATGCTTGGCTCATTCATGGGCCTCGCGATACGAGGAACCCTAATGAGGCCAAGTTGGCCAATTTTTTTATTTTGTATTTTTGGTCAATTTTGGCCACTTTTCTTGATTTTCTTACCCCTAGACATGTTCTTTTGCATTATTTTATACTTACATTACTCACAAACATGTCAAACATCATAAATTCAAAATAAAAGAATGAAAATAAAGTAAGCAAAAAGTTGAGTTTCCTCACAACAAGCGCCTAATTAACGTCGCAGCATGATAATCTACACTTCCACCATGGGTTGCCTCCCATGAAGGGCCTAATTTAACCTCACGTGGCGATGTAGACTCTCACCTAATCATCAGTGAGTATCACCTTAACTTGTGATAATTGAAGTCACCTCCAAAATAGTGCTTTACTATTTGACCATTCACTAAGAACATCCTTTCATCATTTAGAACTCGCAACTCAATTGTACCATGTGGAGTGACTCTCACCACCTTGAATGGACCTGATAAATATGCTACGATATTTCCTAGAAAAAGCCTCAACCTCGAGTTGAACATGAGAACCAATTGACCTGACTCGAACTCTCAATGTTGAATATGCTTATCAAGCCACTGCTTGGTCTTTTATTTGTATAGTTAGAATTTTTATATGCGTGCAACCGAATCTCATCAAGCTCGTTCAATTGCAATATTCTATTTTCACCCACTAATTCCACATCAAACTTCAACTTATTGCATTCCTAATAGGCCTAGTGTTCAAATTCCATCTGCAAGTAACCTGCTTTCCTATGAATCCGCTTTTAAGGAGAGGCTGCAATTAGAGTTTTGTAAGTAGTCTGGTACGCCCATAAAGCATTATCATGCTTTGCAGCCCAATCCTTTCTACTTACACTCACTGTTTTCTCAAGAATCTGCTTTATCTCTCTATTTGACACCTCAACCTGGTCACTTGTTTGAGGATGATCGGTAGTTGCAACCATGTGCTTGACTCCTTATTTTGCTAAGAGATTATTTAGTAGCATGTTACAAAAGCGTGTGCCTCCGTCACTTATCAACACTTGCATGGTCCCAAACCTTGTAAAAATGTATTGTTTCACAAAGTTTACTAGAACTTTTGCATCATTAGTACAAAGAGCAATGGCCTCCACCCACTTAGACTGTTACACCCTATATTTTCGTACGTAAAAGTGCATCGTAAGTAAACTAATCTAGGACCAAAAATGAGATAATATTTGAAAGTATATAAAGTAAGTTAATCATGTTACCTCATACGTTACAAATATTGAAGATCATGAACAACAAGTATAAATAGGGTTAGAAGGTTCAGAAGCTAAAGGAATTGAAAAAAATAATGTTTTGTCGAAAGTCAACAAGTTGGGAATGTTATAACATGTACTTTTGGGGTGAGACTAGGGTGCTTAACATGATAAAGAGATTATGTTATGATTTATATTAGTCTTATGACAGGCATGTGTTATATTTTGAAGTCAAGCGAGTTGTGGAACAAAAGTCGATGAAAGTCATCACAAGTTACGTTCATAAGTTTTACTAAACATTTTGATCAAATGTAACTGTTCTTTTCTCCAAATATACTTAGAGTTACGGGGTGTTCCACCCATAAAATTGAATATTTATGAGTCTACTTTCTAACGCATTAAATTATTTGTCAATACGACATCGAAGTAGAGAGATATGGGCATTTTGCGAGACTGTGCAGGTTGCTAGGTGACAAGTAGGTGTGTCACCTACTTGCTTAAATGAGAGCCCAAAAATGGGCCATTTTGGGTCGTCCAAAGAGGCCTTTTAAAGGCCTATTTTCTTCATATATTAGACTGCAAATAGGGCATAATAACCAGATATAAGCTCTGCAAAAATCCTCCCAAATATTTTCCGAATATAGGGCATAATAACCAGACATAAGCTCTACAAAAATCCTCCCAAAACTTTCCCACAAATCGTAATTGATTTTCTCTCCCTTTCAAGTTCTAATTGGAGGTAAAACCTAGAGTTTGAAGACCTCAGATAGGAGCTGAGTTATCCAAAAAATAAAGTGAGTTTAATTCTCTCTTTCATCCATTTTTTCTGCTGTAAATTCATGGCAAGTCATTCTATAATTGTAAGAACTCACGGGACGGTGATCGGAAGCCGTGAGTTCGAGTTATTCACTTGTAGCAGACTATTTTGTGGACTGTTTTGTGTTGCTATTGGGCTGCGTGTTTTACTACTGTTTTGTGGGGTTTTGGAGAAGGAAGGGGGTGGAGAAACACCATATAAATGTAGGGTGATGGCCTGGTCATTCGTCGTAACATTTCCGGGTCGTTTGACACTGCTACGGTGGTCGTTTTGTGTATGAAGAGATTGAGGTGTACTGGGCTGTATTGTAGTATTTGATGGTATATATAAGGCTGGAAAATAATGTATATATGTTGTTATTGTTGTGTTCTTGTGTTGTTGGTGTTATCTTGAATTTGGAGGAAGTAAGGATTATTGGGGAGATGCTGCCCGTTTTAATACAAAATAAGCTTGTCGTTTGTTGTGCAATAGTTGTACCTTTCATAACTTAATAATAGTCTTATTATCGTTGTTCTACATTAAGGTGTGAAGAGGTGAGTTCAACTTGGTGATTGGAAATATTCTGATAAGGTATGTTAAGGCTAAGACCTTCCTTCATTTTGGCATGATCTCGTAATTACATATGTTTGATAATGAGGCATAAAGAGAAGTTCATACTCCCGAATTTATATACACTATCCTAGTCTCCTAAATTACAGTATTCTCCCTTATCGGGACTTCATATTCAGTTTAGTTTTGTCTTTATTCAGTCAAGAGAGCAGAGGGTCTATATATATACAGTATTACAGTATTTTCACCACCAGCAAGCTATAATTGGTGGGCAGGCCCTTATTGGGAAACCTCTGATCAGATGGTAAGTTATATACCAAGCCTATTGTGGCCGAGCGCCTATGAGCGAGTCTACTATGGAGGAGCAGTTACACGTTTCGAGCCTTATAGGACCAGGCATTTATTTTACTTACTATATTGAGAGAGTTGAGTCAGTAACAGCAGGTTAGTATATCTCTAGATCATGTTTGACTCCCAGTTACTTTCAGTTATCATATTATCAGTTCAGTTTCAGCTTTCAATTATTTTATTTCCTTAAATACTCGGTACATTATTTTGTATCGACGTCCCTTTTCTGGGGGCGCTACATTTCATGCGTGCAGGTTCAGACAGTCAGGTGGGTAGACCTCCTCAGTAGGTGTTGCCCGAGTTCAGTTTGATCGGTAAGCTCCACGTCCTTCGGAGTTGCCGGGCCTAGAGTTTTGTGTATATCTTATGTATATCTGTATATATGTTATAGGTAGGTCGGGTCCCTGTTCCAATCACAGTACATCCATCAGTAGAGGCTTGTAGACATATCTTGTCAATTAGTGTAGTATGTTGGGCTTGTAGTCCTTGTATTTATATTTTGTTGGTTTCAGTTGTTGTAGTTATGATGACCTTGTCGGCCCAGCGTTATATTGATGTTTAGTCAGCGTTAGTTTTCGTTCAGCTTTATATTTTGCTTCGCAAATTGTCTTGCAATGTGGCCCCATGGACAAAGTATAACATTATATGTTCAGAGTCCCTTAGTCGCAAGTTGGTACGCAAGGTTAGGTGAGGCACTGGGTGCCGGTCTCGCCCCCCAGGTTCGGGGCGTGACAAAGTTGGTATCAGAGCAGTTATGTCCTAGGGAGTCTACAAGCCGTGTGTAGTAGGGTCTTGTTTATAGATGTGTTGTGCACCACATTATATAAGCAGGGAACTACAGGGCATTTAGGAGTTGGTTACCCTTTTTCCAAATCTAAATCGTGTTGTAGAACTGAGTTATAGGAAATTTGAGTTAAACTTACATGTTGGTGTTTGCATAAACATATGACAATGACTAGGAAGACTATGGCTAGCAAGAGGAGAGATACAACAGTAGGTGAGGGGACTAGCAGGGTACCCCCAGTAGAAGGGGCCCAGTCTGAGGCCCAAGGCGAGACCCCTACTCAGCCATTACCGGCTCCTCCACCACCTGAAGAGATTCCTAGGGATACCGCACATCCAGTTCCCCATCCACTTCCATCAGATCATAACTTGAGGAGTGCGGTGCATTTGTTGAAACAGTTGGTATCTACCCAACAACAGGCTAGGGCATCAGCTAGTGCATGATCTTCTGAGGGGTCTGGGAGTTCAAGGGTCCGAGAGTTTATTGCTTTGAGTCCCCAGAGTTCACGGGGACAGATCAAGGGAGGACCCAAAGGATTTCATAGATCAGCTTCGCAGGATCTTTCGGGTTATGCATGCCACAGAGAAAGAGGCAGTTGAGCTAGCAGCTTTTCGACTCCGAGATATAGCTATCCTTTGGTATGAGGGATGGGAGAGGTCCAGGGGACGTGATGCACCTCCAGCTGTTTGGGAGAATTTTTTCGATGCCTTTCTTGACCAGTACGTGCCGCGGGAGATCTGACAAGCTCGGTTTGATCAGTTTCTAGCCCTCAAGCAGGGCAATATGAGTGTTTGAGAGTATAGTCTCTGTTTTGACTCATTGGACAAATAATACACCATCCATAGTTGCTACTGTGCGGGACAAGATCCACATGTTTATAGTAGGGTTTTCCCCAGAAATGACCGAGGCATGTGCCACCGCTGCATTGCAGGATAGTATGGATATCTCTCGAATTCAGGCATTCGCCCAGAATATAGAAAGGGGTAGGCGTCGGCAGCAGGGTACAGAGAGGGTTGAGCAAGTGCAACGTAAGAGGATGAGATTTACCAGGTCTCAGGAGAAATCACAGGGTAGTTATAGGCCTAGTACT